TCTAAAAAATTTACAAAAAATAGTTGGCATACTTTGCTTTCAGCTGTCGACTTTCAGTATATAAACACGAAGCGGTGTCATTAGATTTGCTAGGAGATCTTCTTAAGATACAATGAATATATGAAGCTCATATGATCTATCATCACGGGTTTATTACGAATCAACTTAACGGCCTGCTCCCAGTTGGCTTGTTAGCTCAATTGGTAGAGCGCTGCACTAGTATCGCAGAGGTCAGTGGTTCGAATCCCGTACAGGCCTGATTTTTTTTCAGGTCTGATTTTCGCTATTGCATAAATAGCGCTCTCTACTGCGAGGATCGTGCATCATACATATCTCTTACCGCAGTTCACAATATACGAACTTCATATATTCATCGTATCTGTTTTTGTATTGTAGAATTACTTTTTTGTGCATTTGTAGAAAACGAATAAATTGAAACAGTAGTTATCAGAAAAAACATGAAGCAATCGGTGTGTAATTATTACTAAAACCAAATTTTCGATACCATGGAGAAATGTCACAGTAAATCATGAATTCGTTGCGTAATCATTATTCGTCACGACTAATGTTTAATTTGTTTGTAGTTGTCAGAAAAAAAAAAAAAAAAACAAGTGATGCATGCAGAGCGCACGTAACTTGTAAAGAAAAACCTCCGAGGCTATTGTAAAATGTAAATTTATTTCTTCATGAACTGCTGATTAACCTGGTTGCTGTTTAACTCGTATGTGGTTGTTAGGAAAAACACTAAGTGAAGCATGCAGAGTGCATTTACGACTACAAAAAAAGTCACCGCTACTATGGAAAAGTGTAAATTCGTCTTTTCATGAATTCCTTGTCGCCTAGATGCAATTTAAATATCATTGCCACTTGTCATGAACTAAAAATTAAAGTATAAGGGTGCGTCATTTTCGCCATGAAGGGTAACTTTAGGCGTGGTGGTTAACCAATACTTTTTGCTTCAGTATAAAATCAAACAAGGTACAAAAACATTTACTACCGATTCCAACTTATCAACTATTTACTTACGATAGATAATCAATCTCACTTTGCTTTTTCTTTTACAAAGTTTAGCTATGAGTACTTTGCACTGTTTTCTAGCAGTAATTTCAAGTGGCAACAAACTTTGCATCTAAATCCCTTGATACAAACAGTTGGTGTCGAGTTTAATGCAAACTTAAGGATCTCTTCCGAATTGGTTATATCAACTAAGTTGAAATTGTAAATTGGCTACCGTAACGAATAAAAAAGCTGACGTTTCGAGCGTTAGCCCTTCGTCAGAGCGAATGGAGGAATTGTGGGTTGTATGTGGTCTTATATGCAGAAAGTGGAGCTACGCCATTGATGGGAACATGGCAACGAGAAAAACTCGAATAAATTAGTGGAATGAAAAGCGTTCGTTGATACCTGTGGGATTAAGAGTGCCGATTTAAAAGATTAACTTGTGTTCAAGAGTTTAGTGGCTTTCCGTGTTGCCTAAATGTAAGGAAAGACCTCAGATTGCCATATGTTGTTTAGAATGATTAGGTAAATTAAAGTGTCTAGCGTCTGGTTTAGATGCGTCCTTGTCATTCCTTTCCACGTCGCGAAGGTGTTCTAGGAATCGGTCACCTAGTCGTCTTCCTGTTTCGCCGATGTATAACTTTTTGCAATAAGTGCAAGTTATGCAATAGATAACATTGGCGGAG